CACAGTGACTCCTGTTGTTAATTTAATAATGAACACTCTTATTTATGACATCAGTGATCACCCTAGGCTCTTGTCATGAACTTCCAAGTCTATGGAAGCCTTTTGTGACCACAAACTCCATCAGTATTTAGGCAAAGCCATAAGCAAGGTGGAAATTCTGCCCTCCCTTCAGAGAAAAGTACCTCCTTCTTTGATGGCCCCTTCTTTGCACAGAGATCTTTGGTATAGGATATTTTTTTGCCACAGTGTCTTGGCTTTCCATTCCTGAAATGCTCTTGTGGGTTTTTCAGCCACATCCAGATGTCTTAAGGGCTGATTCTGAGGTCAGAGTGTTACTTAAAGTGATTGTTATTCTATAAGTCTGCTGTGTGGACTGCTTCCCATGTTGGAAATTCCCTCCTTTTTGTTCTGTCTATTATTATTACCAGACACTTGATGTGTAGCATGTCCTTAAGAATCTATGTAATGTTGCATTTGTGATGACAAATTCTTTCAATTTCTGTTTGTCGTGGAAGGCCTTTATTTCACCTTCATTCATAAATGAGTAAATGAGTGCTTTGCAGGGTACAGTATTCTTTTTTTGTTTTTAAATTTTTTTTATTTGACATGTAGAGTTAGACATTGAGAGAGAGAGAGACAGAGAGAGAGAGAGAGAGAAAGGTCTTCCTTCCATTGGTTCACACCCAAATTGGCTGCTATGGCTGGTGTACTGCACCGATCTGAAGCCAGGAGCCAGGTGCTTCCTCCTAGTCTCCCAAGCAGGTGCAGGAGCCCAACCACCTGGGCCATCCTCTGCTGCCCTCCTGGGCCACAGCAGAGAGATGGACTGGAAGAGGAGCCACCTGGACTAGAACCCAGTGCCCATATGGCATGCCGGCACCACAGGTGGAGGATTAACTTAGTGAACCACAGCACCGGCCCCCCTACAGTATTCTTTGTTGACAGTTTTTTTTTCTATTTAGACTTAGACTATATCTTGGCATTTTCCTCTAGTCTCTAGGGTTTCTGAGGAAAAGTCAACTTGAAGTCTAATTGGAGATCCTCTGAAAGTAATCTGGCATTTCTCTCATGTACATTTTAGAATCTTTTTTTTTTATGTCTTACTGTAGAAAGTTTGACTACAATGTTTAGTGGTGAAGATCTTTTCTAGTCATGTCTATTAGGAGTTTTATATGCTTCCTCTATTTTGATGTTCTTTTCTTTCTCCAAATGAGGGACATTTTCTGTAATTATTTCCCAAAATATGCCTTCTATTCCATTCTCTCTTCCCATTCCTTCAGGAACTCCTAAGACTGTATGTTGGTTCATTTGATATTATCCCATAAATCTTTAATACTTTTTAAAGTTTTCTATCTTCCTCTTGTTGTTTTTATTTTATTTCTGACTATAAGATTTCCAAAGATTTGTCTTCTAGTTTGGATATTCTTTCTTCTGCCTCCCCAAGTCTTCTGCTAAGGCTTTCCATCACATTTTTTATTTGATCTATTGGGTTGTTCATTTCTACTGTTTCATTTTGATTTTCTTTAAAATCTTATTTCATGGGGAAAATTTTCATTCATGTCATATATTGATTTTTTTAGTTCATGGATTTGCTTCTGATTGCTTTTGAGTAACCCTATGACTAAGTTTTGAATTCCATTTCTGGCCTATCCTCCATCTCTTCATCTTCGCATTCTAATACTGAAATGTTGTGTTCCTTTGTGGGCCTCATATTGTCTTCCTTATTCTTGTTTCATAAACTTCTACATTTGTTTTTAGGTATTTGTGGATTTGATGGTTGCTTTTTTCCTCTGATGGCTTTTATCTTTGAGCTATGCCTCTGTGGTTAGATGGAAAATCTGCACTTTCAGTGAATACCAAGAGATGTGGGTGGGTGTGGCCAGTGAGCTCTGGTTAGTGCTCTTGGTTGGGGCAAATATCCAGGGCAACACCCAAGTTGGGTAAAGTTGATCTCTTGTAAACAGAAGAGGAGGGAGGGAGGGAATGGTCACCTCTGTTGGTGTGATCACCCCCTCACCTTCTCTCTTCCAAGATGAGTAATGTTTGGGTGTTAGTCCTTAGTCTGTAGTCATCCATTCCACCATATGAACCACACAAATGGTTTGTACAGTCTTCACTCTGAACACACTACCCAACGGAATTATTTGCTTTAGGTAACCAAAGAGCTTTGAATGTGTGGAGCCACACCCAGTGATTGCCCAGAGACCCAGCTACACCCTGTACCTTCTCATGTAACCACTGAGTCCCCATGGACTCATTACACAAGTCTCCCACTCTCACTGGGTGTGAAGGTTTCTCTCTGCCCTGCTGGACTGTCCAGTCAACAGAGACAGATGTTCCCCAAGATAGCTCTGTGTAGGCATCTTGATCTCGGGAGCCTTGGCCATGGTTGCCCACTCATCTTCTACCTGCTGTGGATTGTTCTCTCTGCTAGAATCTCTGGATCACATGCATACACAAGAGCCACTGGCCGAACCTTGTTCTCTCCCTGCCACTGCTTCCAGTAATGTCAAGAAGATGGCATCCTGTCTCAGCCAGTTGCTATGCGCTCATACAAAGTCTTCTGCAGCCCTGCCTAAACCCAAAATGGCACCTGCCCTTTCTCAGCTGGGAAATAGTTGATGTTGTGGGGATGTGGGGGTGAGATAAATGTGCCTCCTATACATCCATGGGGTCCATGGGCAACCACTAACAACTGCTGGCCCCCAGGGCACCAGTCCAGACTCTTGCCATGCTCTCCCTCCAGCTATAGCACTGTGGTGTGCTGCAGTCTGGTCTCACCTGCATCTCCAAGCTGCCACCTGCTCCAGCTCTTATCTGCTGCAGTTGTTTCCCACAATTTGTTTTTTTTAAAATGTTTTCTTATTTTTATTTTCTAATGAGATAGACAGAGAATCTTCCAACCCCTGTTTCACTTTCCAAATGGCTGTAACAACCAGGACTCTACTAGTTCAAATCAGGGTCCAGGAATTCCACCTGTTTTTTCCATATTGGATCCAAGTACTTGAGCCTTCATCTGCTGACTCCCAGCTTGCACATTAGCAGGAAGTGATCAGAATCAAAGACGTGACTGGATTCCAGGCACTCTGACATCAGATTTAGTTGTTCTAGTAGCAACTTAGCTACTATCCCACAATCCCATCCTGATTATAATTTCAAAATAAAAAATCTAGAAGTGCATTTAACGTATATACATATATACCTACATTTTTGAAATATATATTTTCTATATATTTTTTAAGATGTATATTTTTATTTGAAAGAGTTACGCACACACACAAACACACACAAACATACAGAGAGAAAGAGAGAGAGAGAGAGAGAGAGAGAGAGAGAGAGAAGTCTTCCATCCAGTGGTTCACTCACAAAATGGCCACAACAGCTGGAGCTGGGCAGTCTGAATCCAGCAGTCAGGATCTTCTTCTGGGTCTTCCACCTGGGTGCAGGGGCCCAAGGATTTGGGCCATATTCTACTGCTTTCCCAGGCACATTAGCAGGGATCTGGCTCAGAAGAGGAGCAGCCAGGACTTGAAACATTACCCATATTGGAGGCCAACCAGGGCTTTAACCTGCTGTGCTACAGTGCTGGCTCCCTCAAATTCTTTTAAAATGACTCCGTAGTGTACTGAGAAGATGAAGTGGAATTCTGGACCCTACATTTTCATTATGTTTGCTTTCTGCTAATCTACAGAACTTCTGATTGGAGACAAACTTGGAACTTGCTTCATGGCCTATGCTGATTTGTATATTTTCTCAAAGATATCCTTCAGGATGAAAGAAATTGGTGACTTGATCAGCCCTCACCCTGACTGTTGATGAACAACTTGATATGTTATCCCTCTTAGTATTTTTTTTGTTTGCTCTACTTAATACTTTTGGTTGAATACTGTAATCAATACACAATTCTTCTTAAGTGCTGAAACTTAACTGAAAAGTGACCGCTGTTAAATATAAGAGTGGGAATAAGAGAGGGAAGAGATGTGCAATTCGGGACATGCTCAAGCTGACTTGCCTCAAACGGCAGAGTTAGAAACATACCAGGGGATTCCAATTCAATCCCATCAAGGTGGCATGTACCAATGCCATCTCACTAGTCCCAGTGATCAATTTCTGTTCACAATTGGTCATAATGATAGGACTAAGAACCAAAGGAATCATATAAACAAGACTAGTGTCTGCAAATACTAGCTGATAGAATAAAAAAGGGAGAGAATGATCCAACATGGGAAGTGAGATACACAGCAGACCCATAGAATGGCAGATGTCCTAAACAGCACTCTGGTCTCACAATCAGCCCTTAAGGCATGCAGATCCGGCTGAAAAGCCCATGAGAGTATTTCAGGCATGGAAAGCCAAGACACTCTGGGGGAAAAAAAAAAACAAAAACCTAAATGAAAGATCTCCATGAGTGAGATCCCAGTGGAAAGAATGGGTCATCAAAGAAGGAGGTACCTTTCTCTGAAGGGAGGAGAGAACTTCCACTTTGACCATGGCCTTGTCTAAATATGATCAGAGTCGGTGAACTCAGGGGGCTTCCATAGCCTTGGCAGCTCATGACAAGAGCCTCGGGTGATTACTGATGCCATAAACAAGAGTGTCAATTTGTTAAGTCAACAACAGGAGTCACTGTGCACTTACTCCTCATGTAGGATCTTTGTCCTTAGTGTGCTGTACATTGAGATTTAATGTTATAACTAGTACTCAAACAGTATTTTTCACTTTATGTTTCTGTGTGGGTCAAACTGTTGAATTTTTTACTTAATGTATGCTAAACTGATTTGAGAATCGAAAATGAATCTTGATGTGAATGGAAGGGGAGAGGGAGTGGGAAAGGGGAGGGTTGAGGGTGGGAGGGACGTTATGGGGGGGAAGCCATTGTAATCCATAAGCTGTACTTTGGAAATTTATATTCATTAAATAAAAGTTAAAAAAAGAAAGAAAATACAGATCTAACAGGAAAAAAATACAAAACAACAACAACAAAAAGAAATCAGGTCAGTGGTTTAGTAGTTGAGTGTCTGACCACAAGAGGGCAGAGCGTCTCTGCAGACCCATGGTATAGGACAGGCTCTTTTCGGTTGACTTCTATAGGAGAAGGCTCAAGACAGAAGCAGACGCCTGTGCAGTTTGAAGACCGTTGTGCCTTGGAGCAAAGGAGGAGACATCTGTGATAGACAGAGCTCTCTTGGCTTGAGCTCGCAGGTCCTGATGGACAGAACCATGAGGACACTTGCAGGACCTTTCTTCCTGTTCTTGTGGCTGCAGCTGCACTGTGAGTTGGGAGTTTTTTGGGGAAGAGGGAGCTTAGTAATGTTCATTAGAAGTCTGAGGATGAGGCTGGCATTTTCTAGGCTGCCTGAAATCACCTTGAGGAAAAATGATGCAATCTTCGGAGAGTAATGACCTGACAATCATGTCTGGATTATCCTTTTGCACAGGTGTGAGTGGAGGAGAGACGGTGGAGCAGAGTCCTTCTTTCCTGAGTGTCCAGGAGGGAGACGGCTGTGTTATCAACTGCACTTACACAGAGAGTGCCTCCACCTACTTCAGTTGGTATAAGCAAGAACCTGGAGCAGGTCTCCAGTTCCTTATAAACATTCTCTCAAATGCGGATAAGAAAGAAGAGCAAAGGCTCACCGTCCTCATGAGCAAGAAGGACAAACGTCTCTCCCTGCACATCGCAGCTGCCCGTCCTGCAGACTCAGCCACCTACTTCTGTGCTGCAAGAGCACAGTGCTCCCCAGGCACCTGCAGCCTCTACTCAAACCCGCAGTGAGGGCTGAAGGCATCTCATCTGTTGTTGCTGTTGGCGATGGGGATTTTCTGTAGTCTAATATAAGGACATTCTAAAAAAACACTCCGGTGTGAGTATCACAAAGTTGAATATTTGAGAAAAAAGTTGACTGGTTGTGAAATCACCAATGAGTAAAAAATAAATTATAGTAAGCAAGTAAATCAAGTACCTCACTTGATTTTGGATCAATCAAACTAATTAAATCTTGAAGTTCTTAGTAAAAAGGTCAATGTGTATTAATTAAGTCACTGAACAGGGAAGGATTTGTGAGCATAAAAATAGTGGAAGAAATTCAGAGAAAATGAAAAGGTTCCATATCTAAATGTTAAGAGCAAAATCATTTTGAAATAAATACCTAAATTACATCAAAATGACTGTTAATTGTTATTTTGTCAGTAATTTGACAATTGGTTTGTGATTTTCCTAAATAAGTTTATTTTCATAGATGAAAATGAACGTGAATATCTAAACAGATAAATGTTCATATGGTATGATGAGGCAATTTGAAAAGCCACATCACTCACAAAGACGTGGAAAATTCTTGTAGCTATTGATGTTGACAAAAATGTATATGAATATCTCTCAAACCCAATTTAGGAATTCCTTCAATGCAAGTTTGAAAGAAGGGTGATTGGTGTAGTTATTCGGCCTAGTGTTTATTCCGTAGGTTTAGATGTCTGTGCTTGATGCCTACCTCTGGCTCCTGAGTCCAACTTCCTGTTAATGCAGAGTTGCTGCAGCCATAATGGCTCAAGCAACTTGGTCCCTGCTATTTATGAGTTCCTGGTTCCTGGCTTTAGTTCTGGCCCAGCTCCAGCCATTGGGGGCATCTGAGGACTCAGTCAGTGAATAGTATCTCTCTCTCTCTCTCTCTCTCCTCTCTCTCTGTCTATATTTCTGCTTCTCAAAAAAGAGAAATTTTCAAAGCATGTAGTGATGGTGGCAAACTCTGGTGGGAGGGTCATTTGTTAGCCACTTTGAAAGTAATTAAAAGACATGATTTAGTAATCTAAAAATACTCATTTAAATTATTGTATTGTTTTCTTTGATTAACATTAATAACTTTATATTTATGGGGTATACTAAAATATTTCAGTACATATGACAGTATAAGCCTATCAACCCATGCAAATAGCACTTCCATTTTCTTATCATTTCTCTGTGTTTGGAGCCTACCAATCTTCTTCATTATTTTATTATTTTATTTTTTAGCTTTTATTGAATGTATATAAATTTCCAAAGTGCAACTTTTGGATTATAGTGGCTTTTACCCTCATAATCTCCCTCCCACCTGCAACCATCCCATCTCCCACTCCCTCTCCCATCCCATTCACATCAAGATTTGTTTTTAATTATCCCTATATACAGAAGATCAACTTAGTATATACTAAGTAAAGATTTCAACAATTTGCACCCACACAGAAACACAAGGTATAAAGTACTATTTGAGTACTAGTTATACCGTTAATTTGAATAGTACGACACATTAAGGACAGAGATCCTATGTGGGGAGTAAGTGCACAGTGACTCCTGTTGTTGATTTAACAATTGACACTCTTATTTATGACGTCAGTAATCACCCGAGGCTCTTGTCATGAGCTGCCAAGGCTATGGAAGCCCCCTGAGTTCACCGACTCTGATCATATTTAGACAAGGCCATGGTCAAAGTGGAAGTTCTCTCCTCCCTTCAGAGAAAGGTACCTCCTTCTTTGAAGGCCCGTTCTTTCTGCTGGGATCTCACTCACAGAGATCTTTCATGTAGTTCATTTTTTTTTTTGCCAGAGTGTCTTGACTTTCCATGCCTGAAATACTCTCATGGACTTTTTAGCCAGATATAACTGCCTTAAGGGCTAATTCTGAGGCCAGAGTGCTGTTTAATGCATCTGCCATTCTATGAGTCTGCTGTTTCCACTTCCCATGTTGGATTGTTCTCTTGTTTTTATTTCTATCAGTTAGTATTGGCAGACACTAGTCTTATTTATGTGAACCCTTTGACACTTAATACTATCATTATAATCAATTATGAACTGAAACTGATCACTTGGACTAGTGAGACGGCATTGGTACAAGCCACCTTGATGGGATTGAATTGGAATCCCCTGGCACATTTCTAGCTCTCCTATTAGAGGTAAGTCCAAGTGAGCATGTGCCAAACTGTGAATTTCTTCCCTCTCATATTCCACTTTTATATTTAACAGGGATCACTTTTTAGTTAAATTTAATCATCTAAGAATAATTGTGTGTTAATTAAAGAGTTCAAACAATGGTATTAAGTAGAACAAAACAAATACCAAAAGGAATAAAATAGTAAGTTGTCCCTTGGCAGTCAGGACAAGGGCTGATCGAGTCATTGTTTCTCGTAGTGTCCATTTCACTTCAACAAGTTTCCTTTTAGGTGCTCAGGTAGTTGTCTCCGATCAGGGAGAACATATGATATTTGTCCCTTTGGGACTGGCTTATTTCACTCAGCATGATGTTTTCCAGATTCCTCCATTTGGTTGCAAATGACCGGATTTCATTTTTTTTTTTTACCTCAGTATAGTATTCTACATAGTACATATCCCATAAGTTCTTTATCCAGTCTTCTGTTAAATGATGGGCATTTAGATTGATTGCATGTTTTAGCTATTGTAATTTGAGCTGCAATAAACATTGAGGTGCAGACAGTTCAATTTTTTGCCAATTTAATTTCCTTTGGGTAAATTCCGAGGAGTAGGCTGGCTGGGTTGTATGGTAGGGTTATGTTCAGGTTTCTGAGGAATCTCCAGACTGACCTGCATAGTGGCTTTTCCAGTTTGCATTCCCACCAACAGTGGGTTAGTGTCCCTTTTTCCCCATATCCTTGCCAGCATCTGTTGTTGGTAGGTTTCTGTATGTAAGCCATTCTAACCAGGATGAGGTGGAAACCTCATTGTGGTTTTGATTTGCATTTCCCTGATGGCTAGTGATCCTGAAATTTCTTCATGTGTCTGTTGGCCATTTGGATTTCCTCTTTTGAAAAATGTCTATTTAGGTCCTGGCCCATCTCTTAAGTGGGTTGTTTGTTTTGCTGTTGTGGAGTTTCTTGATCTCTTTGTAGATTCTGGTTATTAATCCTTTATCGGTTGCATAATTTGCAACATTTTTCCCACTCTGTCGCTTGCCTCTTTACTTTCTTGACTTTTCAGAAATACTTCTCAAACTTCCCAATGTGATATAATCCCAATTGTTAACATTGGCTTTGACTTCCTGTTCCTCTGGGGTCTTTTCCAAGAAGTCTTTGCATGTGCCTACATCTTGCAGGGCTTCTCTGATGTTCTCTAATAATTTGATGTTGTCGGGTCTCAGGTTTAGATTTTTAGTCCATGTTGAGTGGATTTTTGTGTAAGGTGTAAGGTAGGGGTCTTGCATCATGCTTCTGCATGTGGAAATCCAGTTTTTCCAGCACCATTTTTTGAATAGACTCTCCTAGCTCCAGGAATTGGTTTTAGATCCTTGATCAAATATAAGTTGGCTGTAGATGTTTGGGTTGATTTCTGGTGTTTCTCTTCTGTTCCATTGGTCTATCCATCTGTTTCTGTACCAGTACCATGCTGTTTTGATTACAACTGCCCTGTAGTAAGTCTTGAAGTATGGTATTGTGATGCCTCTGGCTTTGTTTTTGTGGAACAAGATTGCTTTAGCTATTCGAGGTCTCTTGTGCCTCCATATGAAATTCAGCATCATTTTTCCAGATCTGAGAAAATGTCTTTGGTATTTTGATTGGTATCACATTGAATCTATACATTGCTTTTGGGAGAATGGACATTTTGATGATATTGATTCTTCCAATCCATGAGCATGGAAGATTTTTCCATTTTTTGATATCCTCTTCATTTCTTTCTTTAAGGTTTTGTAATTCTCATTGTAGAGATCTTTGACATCCTTGGTTAAGTTTATTCCAAAGCATCTGATTGTTTTTTTAGAATTGTGAATGGGATTGATCTTAGAAGTTCTTCCTTAGCCATGGCTTTGCCTGTTTATAAAGGCTGTTGATTTTTGTGCATGATTTTACATCCTGCTACTTTGCCAAACTCTTCTATGAGTTCCAATAATCTCATAGTAGAGTTCTTTGGATCCCCTAAATAAAGAATCATATCATCTGCAAAGAGGGATAGTTTGACTTCTTCCTTCCCATTTTGTATCCATTTAATTTCTTTTTCTTGCCTAATGGCTATGGCTAAAACTTCCAGTACTATATTGAATAGCAGTGGTGAGAGTGGGCATCCCTGTCTGGTACCAGATCTCAGTGGAAATGCTTCCAACTTTTCCCCATTTAATAGAATGCTGGTCATGAGTTTTTCATAAATTGCTTTGATTATATTGAGGAATGTTCCTTCCATACCCAGTTTGCTTAGGTTTGTCATCATGAAAGTGTGTTTCATTTTATCAAATGCTTTCTCTGCATCAATTGAGATAATCTTATGGTTTTTCTTCTGCAGTTTGTTAATGTGGTGTATCACATTGATTGATTTGCGAACATTGAACCATCCCTGCATACCAGGGATAAATCCCACTTGGTCTGGGTGGATGATCTTTCTGATGTGTTGTTGCATTCTATTGGCCAGAATTTTATTAAGGATTTTTGCATCTATGTTCATCAGGGATATTGGTCTGTAATTCTCTTTCAGTGCTGCATCTTTCTCTGCTTAGGAATTAAGGTGATGCTGGCTTCATAGAAAGAATTTGGGAGGATTCCCTCTTCTTCGATTGTTCTGAATAGTTTGAGAAGAATTGGAGTTAGTTCTTCTTTAAATGTCTGGTAGAATTCAGCAGTGAATCCATCCGGTCCTGGGCTTTTCTTGGTTGGGAGGGACTTTATTACTGTTTCAATTTCTGTCTCAGTTATGGGTCTGTTTAGGTTTTCTATATTTTCATGGTTCAATTTCGGTAGGCTCTATGTGTCCAGGAATCTATCCATTTCTGATAGATTTCCCTGTTTGCTGGCATACAATTCTTTGTAGTAATTTCTGATGTAGGTGCTTATTGCTATAAAATTTTTCTTTACACTGCTTTTGCCTGATCCCATAAGTTTTGATATGTTGTGTTGTTTATCTTCATTTACTTCCAGGAAGTTTTTGATTTCTCTTTGGATTTCTTCTATGACCCACTGTTCATTCAGGGGCACAAAGTTCAGTCCCCAAGTGTTTGCATATGCTCTAGAGATTCCTGAGTTGCTAATTGCCAGCTTCATTCCATGGTGATCTGAGAAGGTGCATGAGATGATTTTGATTCTTTTGAATTTGC